GGATAAAAAGTTAAAACTCTATACAAAAATTGGTATTAATACTCCGAAAAAAAATATAAAAAACAATTACATTCCAATGTTTCTTCTATTGATATCACTTGCCTCAGCCAAATACAATATGTACAATAGACCAGCTCAAGACAACCCAACACAAGCCAAAAACGAGCTTTATGTTCGTGACAAATGCACAACATGTTGCAGAATTATAATAGCATCATTCTATAATTACGACCAAAACAGGGCATTTAGTGAAAACGATTATAAAACGGGTACAGATAGAATCTTTGTCATGGACATGGAGTTTGACAACATTAACGAAATCAGAAGGCCCGATGGTAATTACGAACAAGTGATCCCGTTGCGTCCACTCACTGAAAACAAGAATTTCCAATATTTTGAATTTGCGCCATATAAAATGTTCATATCATTTGTTTATCCAAAAAGAGTCCACGACATTAGAGGAGGCGCAGCACAGAATGCCCGACTTATTATTTGGTCTAAAAATCCACCACTTTCAGACGCTCCGGGCACTACAAATCAAAGATTTATTTATGTCCATCCTTATGTGGATAGTTTCTACACTTCATCATTCGAAAATAGATGGAAAGCTTATAAGAACCATTTCTTCTTGCCTTTCTATACAAAAACTGACTTGTGTTACACCGCTTGTAACTTTGGGGATTTCATGTCATGGACAGGACAAGCACAATTTAAAAACACACCATACTTCCATCAAATAAAAGCCGTTGGATGTTCTGCTAACGAACCTAGACAAATGTTTACTCAAGTATTTGCTTAATTTAGTTGTCATGTTGATCTGTTCATATACTTTTTATTTGTTATAAAGTAGGTCGAAAACAGTTTTACTTATTAGTAAATTATATTATATTATATTATATTATAGTATTTATTGCTATAATTCTAATAAAGATTTTTATTATTTAATAAATAGTAAAAAAAAGAAAAATAAAATCATTAAAAATGGTAAATATATAAAAATTTTGGTTGAAATTCTTGTAATTTAAGTCAACACAAAAACAGACTTTCGTTGTTATGGTTGTACCAATACCAATACAAAAATCAATGAATGTCTTTGATTAGAATATAAAGATTTGTCTAACATAAAATAGCACAACCAAAAGTTATCAAACAAATTGTTTCAAAAATTTTATTGTCGATACAACACAATTTAAAAACCAAAACTTAAATGTGGGATTCAAAACTGTCAATTTATAGCAACAAAACTATACTTTCAAACATCGTCGAGTAAACACACAAAACACAGCGTATCTTAAAATTATTTATATCATTTGTTCAATCATTATCAAATTAGTGAAACTATTTTTTTAATTTATAAAACTAATTGTATTGTTCTTATATTAATAACAAATAGTAACGTTTTTCTTCTGGACTAACAACAAATGGGCGTTTTTGGTATATACAAAATCAATGCAATTATGATCTGAATTGTAACTTATTAATAACATAATAATAGTATTATTATATAAAACACAGTTTAACTCGCCAACAACCCAACACTGCTCTTTTTAACAATTTTTTTAAAATTTTTCCCAAAACTTTTCAAATAATTTTGAATTTTTATTAGGTGATTTTACTGAAAAAAATAGATAAAAACAAATAATATAAAATTAAATTAAATATTATAATTAAATTATTTTTTATACAATAAAAAGCATCTATTTGTGGGTTTTCAAACAGAGAAAAAATATTTATTTGTGGGTTTATCATGGAATAGTGAAGTAAATTCTTTTCACTATTTTATACATAAAAAATGAAAGATATTAATGATATTAGAGTATTTTAATTATAGTGAAACTATAATTTTTATTTAAGTGTACCTAAATTCAAAGTTCCACAGCAAAATAATTATTTGTGGGTTTTGCATTTGATTGCTCCATTGACCCACAAATAGATGCTTTTTATTGTACCAAAAAATCGTTTTGTGCATTTATTTTTTGAATAAAAACTTATAAGCAGAACGGAACAAAAAAATACAACCAAAATAATATAAAGTTGGTGGAAAAAAGTCAGATTTGGCAATTTATAGTAAAATATAATATTTATTGTTATAAATTAAAAGAAAATTTTGTATAATTTTAAAAACATTAATTAAAAACAAAAAAAATAATTAATTAAAAATAATTAATTAACTAATTATTTATAAATATTAATAAACCAAACAATGGTTGATCTTTTTATTGACATTTCGGATACATAACGTAGTTTTGTTGTTGTGGTTCTGTTACCTCATAAACAGTTAATTGCCACCCTTTGGTGTTTGTTTTTAAAATTAAAAATGATGATTTGGCAAATATAAAAGAAGGCAAATTTGAAAGTTATCAAATTAATCATTTGATTTATTATTTAATAAATACAACTCAATCCAATAACAAAAAACTTAAAAAAAGCATTTTGAAACAATTAATTTTATAATTACAAATTTAAACTTATAAATATATTAAAGAAACCCACAAAATGCAGCAAATGTTTAAAAATGTCACTCATTCAATTCGGCTATGAATTGAATCGATCTCTATGTGAAAGTGTCAATGTGTAAAATCAGCCGAGATCGATTATGGTCGTCACTTAAAGTTTTAGCATGTACAATTTTTGTATTTAATTTCAAAAAAAACGTCGATAATTTATTGAATTTTCCTACTCGTAAGTTATATAAATTTTAACAATAATAAAAATAATAACCAATAAAAATGGTTGTTTATAATAAAATATAGTTAATCTTATCGAGATAAACTATTTTCTGCCAACTTTAAAAAAATATTAATAAAATAATAAAGACAATGATAAAAAAGCACATATAACTAATGTGAAAATAGCTATTTCTTGTTCAATAAAACAAATAAATTACAATAGTAGTAATAAAAAACATAATAGTTATGTTCAGAGAATGACGCAAATTGATAATTGTGGTTGATATTAAAATTGAGTAACACGCTTCTGTGTTATAGTGAAAACATTAGAGTCGAAATAGTTGTAAAATATCATAACAATAAAACGAATTCATTATACATCACTTTTACAGACAGTGATGCATCTACAATTGATTATCAAGCAACCCAAATATAAAGAATGAAAATAATTAGGTATACCTCGGAATTGACAATAAAAAGATAAATTACTCATAATGTAAAAAACAACAAAAATTAATAGATACACCAAATAAATCAATAAAATAGCATTGATGAACAAAGAAGTTTGATTTTTTGTTGTTTGAAAATAAAAATTATAATTATAGTTTACTTTATTCATTTAAACACTCTTATCAACATATTGTTAAAATGTATAATTATATACATCAATGTGCCAATATTCATCAACAAACAATTGATTAAACAGTTCATACATTTGAAAAGGAATCAGAAAACAACACAAAATATATATGGATTATATGTAATAGAGGGAAATTGTTGTAATTATTAATAATATATTTGACACTAAAAAACTTTTTAATGATTATTTAGTTCGATTTTAATATTTTTATTAAAACTTTTTGAGAGATTAGTCACTTCATTATAAATACAAAGAATAGGAAAAAATATAATTTAAACAAACAAAAGCTGTCATAAGTCTTGCTACTTCGTATTGTTTGAAAAAACAAATTAGATACACAGTTAGTATAATTGGTTCTTTGAAAAGTTTATAAATCATTTGATTAAAAAAATTGTATGAACATAAATTTTGTATGGTTTATATTAAATATCAGTGATGTGTAAATGTTACCTTTTGCGTTTTGTATTACATTATCAACTCAAAACTATTTGTTTTTTATTTTTTATTCTATGTTTAAATAACATATTTGTAGTTTCAGAATAAATATTATTGCAATTTACCAGTATTATTATTTTGCCATTTTTACGTTTTTGTCATCAATTTTTATATTTTTTCATTTTTTCTCATTTTTTTTGTTTTTTTTAGTTCATGATCTGAACTCATTATTCCATTATCATTTTATTATAATTGAACTACACTGTATAATATAATTTTTTTCAAAAAAACAAAAACACTCCTTTTTTGCAGTATTAGTTCGTTGGGGATTTAGTACTCGGCGAGTTAATTAATATTTAGTTTTAATTATTTTGATATGATTAAAACAATCCAAAAAACTTTTGAAAAAACATGACAAATTTTATAATGATTTTTAAAAAATCAATTTTAATTAAAAGATTTATAATCAAATAAATGAAGCGGCTTGATAGTTACAGTTTAATGATTGTTTCAAAATATTTCACGTCGATAACCGACTTCAAAAATATTGAAATGGTGAACAAAAAGTTCAATGGAAATATGTCCAAATTTCATTTTAATCCAATTCCTCTTACTTCAAAAACAATTTCCTATTTTCCAAACATTGAAACATTTCATGTTTATAACACAAATGAAGAAACTTTTTCAAATACAATTTTAACGAACTATCCAAATAAGTCAGAAACACAACACTCTTTCTACAAGATTGTTTATTGGGGAAGTATTACATATGATAACTATATCAATTATAGTGTTGAAAATGTAGAGTACAAATCAATAGCCATAACGTTAAAAGATGTCCAAACATGTAAACATCCACTTTCTAGTGCAATGAACCAACTTGATTATTGTCGATCTTTAAACAATCTTAGAGCACTTACCATTCCTCAAAGTATTAAAATTATTTCAAAATTGGCCTTTTGGGAATATAATAAGATTGTAGAAATTGACATACCCAAGTCAGTGTGTTCGCTTGGGGATATGACATTTAAAAGTTGTTACAAATTGAAAGAAATAAATATTCCGGATGGAGTCACCACATTAGGTGATTACTGTTTTTATCAATGTTATGAGCTTGAAAAAATAACACTTCCAGAAAGTCTTCATTGTGTTGGTGAATTCTGTTTTTCTTTATGTAATGCGTTAACAAGTATTTCATTCAATTCTCCTATTTGTGAAATTAAAATGGGCGATTCAGTCTTTTTTATGTGTGGACTTCAGTGTTTTGATATGCCAGAAAATGTGATGGAAATAGGAAAAGCTTGTTTTTCTGAATGTAAACAACTGAGTGCTGTAACAATAAAGTCGAACATTAAAATCCTTAAAAAACAAATGTTTTTCAAATGCACTGCTCTTGTTAATTTGACCTTTGAAGGTGTTCAAGAAATTGAAGAGGAATGTTTTTTCGAATGTTATAATTTAACTCAAATGTGTATACCAAATAGCGTTTTTAACATTGGAAGAAGTTCATTTGCAAAATGTGTCAATTTGAGGGAGATAAAACTCGGTGACAACATCAGAAGTCTTGGGCCAAGGTGTTTTGTATGTTGCAATCAATTATCTTCAATCGTTTTTAACGATAAAATTGAAGTACTTGGTGAGTACTGTTTTTATCATTGTAAAAAGCTTGGAATTATAGAACTGCCAACAACAGTAAAAACACTTAAAATGTGGTGTTTTGGGTATTGTAGAGAACTTAATCAAGTCACATTAAATGAAGGTCTTAAAACAATCGAAAAAAATTGTTTTAGTAATTGTTCTTCATTAAAAGTTATAAAAATACCAGACAGTGTAACTACAATTGGAAGTGGATGTTTTAAAAATACTAAATATGAAAAATTTAGAACTGATTTCGTGTCATGCCATAAGAAATAATTAATTAAATTAATGGTTCTTTAATTTTTTTATTATTAATATTAATTTAATCGATCTTTGTAATAGTATTGGTTTATTAGTAAAATAAATATTGAAAAACTAAACTTCAATAAAACAATAGTTAATTTGATTATTAACTATCGTTTCTTAAAAGGAATTATAGTTTCTAGTAAAATTAATCATATATATAGTATATAATTTATATTAATATAAAACTATTAAAATAAAAACAATAAAATGGTGTTTGTTTTTATTCTAAAGTCTGTCTAAAAAAGTTGTCTATTTGCCAAAATTTTACACAAAATAAGTTTAAAAATTTGGGAATTAGGAAAAATGTTGAAAACGCAGTAAAAAATATGAGACGATGTTTGGGGAGTGTTTCAAATCGTTTTCCGATAGATTCCGGTTTTAATGGTCTAAAAATGCCCGGAAAACGTTTTCAGACTGACTATAAACAATAAAAATTCACAATAAGACGTTTATTATTATTAATGCACCAACACCGCTCACCTTCCAAGTACTCATCTGAAAAGTTTTTATTTTTGACTTTTAAAATAGAAAGAAAAACAGTTGTAATTTTAAGACACACAAATTCTATCCGAAGATAATTCTTTTAATCAGAACAATTTTGGCAAACACAGTTTTATGGTTAAAATGGTGGTCGAAATAACTAATTCAATGCGACAAAAATGGTTTTAATAACTTTTTATAGATATTTTGGTTATGAAAATCTGATTAATTAAAGTTGAAATTTGGTATTGATACAACCAAGATTTATTTTGTAAATGTTTTTGTGGTCTAAACTTTTTAAAGAAACATTTCCAAATGTTATTATTTGGAAATAAAAGGAACATTTAGTTTAAAATTGAGCAATCCCAAATTATTAACCAATTAACAAGCACTTGTTATATTTTTGCAGTTCCTCATTCCACTCTATGTTACTAAAACTAAAAGTTGAGAATAAAAAGGAACTTGGATAATAATATAATTACAAGTGTAATAATGGTGTTAATATTATTATTTCTAATATTAAATACTTTAAGTATTGCTTCACCAAGTTCGTATTGTAACAAAGTGACCGATGGTGTATGTACAGAGTGTATAAATAACTACTTTTTAGACGATTCTCACCAATGCATATCAAGACTTGATTTCCATTGTGGGGTGTCTTCAACATACAGTCAATGTGAAAAATGTAGTCCAGGCTATAAGTTTGATTTTTCAAATTACACTTGTGTTATTGGAGACGAGTTGTGTGCTTCAATAGAATTTTATAATAAAGTTGCCACATGTACAGAGTGTCCCAAAGGTTATACAATTGTGAATGAGACCGAGTGTTATGATTGTTCTTTCTTTGGAAACTCTCTTTGTAAAAGTGCTACAAAAGACTGTTCTGTATGTACCGAGTGTGTTAGTGGGTCTTACATTTTAGATGGTAAATGTATTAAAATTTCCAACTGCGAAGTCGCTAAAGAAGATGGGATGTGTGAATATTGTATAACTGGATATTACATTGACAAAGAAAGTGGTACTTGTAAACTTGGTAAGATCCCACTTTGTATAGACTATGAGTCTCAATTTGAGTGTTCAGAATGTAGTGGTAATTCATTCAACAACATCACCGAATGTATTAAAATCGACAACTGCCACGAGTCAGACGAAGATGACGGAGGAATTTGCACGAAGTGTAATAATGGGTATGGGATGGATGGTATATTAAAGTGTTCGAAATGTACTGTTGAGAATTGTAAAAACTGTGACATGAATACGTCTATATGTCAAAGGTGTAATGATGGCTTAGCCAAATTAGCAGAAGACAAATGTGGAGATTGTAGCCAAGTTCATGGGTGTAAAGAGTG